CCAGGATTTGAGGAAGAGAGAGGTCAAAAACATGGGCAGACTAGTGAGTGTGATGTGACAATAAAAGCCAACAGAATTTATCCACAGATATTTTTCTGCCAAACTACATCTTTCGAACTGCCCTCCATTGCACAACACTATGAATTCACCATGTTTTGGTTTCACATTTGTATTGCCTTCTAAGAAGACATTTTGAACACAAAGAGTTTCACCCTAACCGCTAAGAAGTCAACTCCAACTAAAACAGTTTTCCATTCTTGTATAATGTCAAAAGGACTCGTTTTAGGCCATTTCTGGTGATTCCAATTCATTACATAATACAGCAATGTTCAATGTAGTTCAGTAATTATTGAAGCAAGAGTATTGTAAACTTGGATCTTGACTGCAGTAAATACTATCTCGATGACATTAATGCTACATAACATAATGGATCTTCTTGAGTAACACCTACAGTCTTGAAATTGTCTACAAAACAAAGAGCACCACTTAAAATTCACCACACATCCAGCAAGCTGAAAACCCTAAGCTGAATGGGAATATGTGGATGTGATAAGAAAGCAGAGGACTGATGCCAAATTGCCTGAACTTCCATGTTTCTTTGGTAAAAACATGTGCCACTGGCAGCCTCCCATAGTATAATCACTTCATAATTCATTTAACAATTCGCATCATTTAATTTTCTTTGTAACATGTAGACAATCCTTGGCCCAGAAACCAGCAATACATCTCATCTTGTACAACAAACAGAGCGCATTCAGGACAGTGGACTAACAGATCCAAGGATCAAATATAGCCGACCCACTTGAATGCTTGTTGCGTAAATCCGCCAGGGAAGCTATTCTGTGTCTAATCAGGAATTGAGCAGCAAGCTTTTTAGTGGGTTGCCATATATGATCTGTGGATCTGTTAGTCCGCTGTGCTGAATCCGCTCTAACACAAACAAAAAATGCACCCGACCTTAAGAACAATAACATACATGCAACCAAAGAAAGTTTCTCTAATTTCAGCAATGTACCAGTGAGGATAAATTACATAAGATATTTTCTTACAAAAATGCTACCGTATTAATCAGTTTAATAAAAAATATCTAAGTACGCTTCCAGAGAAGGTGTGCTGCTCTCACTGTTTAAATTACTTTACATATTAGCATTAGTCTTAGCTTATTGATATATAGATATTTATTGTACATTATCATCACAGCAGTGGTAAAATTTGGCTTGAATTAACACTCACTCTCTCTCTCTCTCTCTCTCTCTCATGTATGTGTGACCTACGTCTTGGAGTTTCAAAAAAGTCAAAGAAAAAAAAGCACAAAAGGGACAGAAACTCTCTACTACCATATCAACTAATAAAAATAATAATAACACCAAAAAATAACAGAATTACAACATACAAGTATCATGTGATAACAATTAAACCAACTTTTATCTCAATGACAATCAACTGTGATTGTTTGGCAAAGATTACCAGATGTTACTTTAATCAAAGAATAAAAACACGCCCAATCTCATGACTATGGTTTTCACATTTCTGCACAGATTTCCTATCAATACCAATCTCAACTGTTGACCTAATAATCTACCCACGACTACTGACGCATTATATTTGTAAATGATGATTGCATTATCTGTAGATTGGCACAGATAACTATGTCCTTTTGTTTTCAAAAGTTCATTAAATCAATGAAGAGTATCTTTATCAGATGTTCCTGGGAACAGGTCATTTATTTTCCTTCAAAATTACACAATTATAATGTTTTGCAATGAAACACAAGATTTAGATTCATAGTGAATCAAGCAGAACTGAATCACGTGTAACAAAACCTTAATTGTGTTGTTTCTGCAGCACATGCAATTTTCATAGGGAATAATGCATCAAATCTCCTCAAAAGATGAAAACTTTGGCTAATTCTTTTCAAATTTAATAAAGAAACACCATCAAATGAGCATAGAAAAATGCAATAAGTTCCAAATAACATCTGCATCAAAGCTGTCCTCAAATGGCATTCCCGACAGATTTTAGCCCAAGTCCTGTCCTCCTAAAAGGCAATCAGTCATTTTGTTTTGATCAGAATCTGTCACTTTAATCTCATCTACAAATGGGCAATGAGGGCCATGCTGACCATGCCAAGAACTTCATTAATTCTTATAATGCGGCCTAAAAAGTACTGCTGGACTTTCTAAAAACCCTCTGAGCATTTTTTATCAGTTTGTATCAACATAAGATTCCATTTCAATGATGGTATCACCCTGTCTTCCTGGAAACACTTTTTATTGTTTTGTTACTCTGAAAAGGTTAATGTTAAAATAAAGATGCACAAATTTAATTACAAGTAAACATGTCAAGATGTTGGCTCGGATATGATACTTTGATATGTTAGACTTGGCAAATATCTCACCTGCATCATCTAACCACCCAAATACCTGCCCACTTTTGTTTGTCAGATTCTTCCTTTTTTTAATCAATCCTGGCGGTGCACAGTCTACACAAGCCCCTAAGGGAAATATCACAAAACTTTTTAAAAATTCATCAAAATCAATTTGTTAAGCTTGGTGAATAACTTAAGTATCAAATGAGGAGCATCAGGGCTTAAACTCATACAATTTTCTCTCGCCCAAATGACTAAACCTTTTAGTTGAAAATGTTTTTTAGCCAAATCAATGGTTAAATTTCAAAATTAATTTATTAACTAAGATAACCACTATTGTGAGTACTGTATCTCCTTCTATCCCACCCCAAGATGATTGTGTTCCAAATGAAGTGGTCAGATATATATTTATATCTTACCCCTTTTCTAGTATTGACACTTTAGTTTGTGATAACGGTGGGTGATGGACAGAAAGACCTCTTTCCTTTATCCTGCCACATGAACTAAATACCAACTAACATGTGAGGAACAACATAATACAAACATGGATGCATTCAAACACATGCATGCACACTCCTTGGCACATGCATGCTCACACACACACACACACACACACACACACACACACACACACACACACACACACACACACACTACATCAATTTCAGATGCATATCAATCAATTGCCTAACATGATCATATTTCATTTGCCTTCAAATCTGTGTGTTCTCACTGCCTTCCACACACTACACTGCACCTTCCTCGTTACAGCCTGCGCCACCAGCGGCCCACAGAGCACCTGCCCCAGATGATCCACTCACCAGGAAATGTTAATTGCCTCCCATAAAATCTTCTGGGCTTTCTTTAATCACCCAGCTGCCCAAAAAAGCAAGTGTTGAACAAACATAACAAGATAAAAAGAAATCCCTTGATGTCAAATTAGCAAGTTCTTAGAGGGTAATATTTGGCTGCGTACACGTCCCTTCATTTCTCTGGCTGATACTACACATGTTCATTCTTATCTCCTAGTGCAATTGACATGCATCAAACTCAGAGAAATTACTGGTCTGCAGGCCCCAGTGCACCAACACCTTCCTGGTGCTTAACTTTCTGCCAAATTGTGGTATTCAACTAGAAACAATGTTCAATAACAAGTTAAGTTTGTGACTTCACCCAAGCCCAGGTGTGCACAGCCATACCACCAAAACTCCCACAGCGTTCTTACTCTTTTCTCAATATCAGTGTAGATGAAAGTGCATTGTGTTATGTATACTATTTAAGTTCTTTATCATTATATACAATGGGAATCAGATTCTGATTCAAGAATAACCTGGTCTGATTTTCAAAATAACAAACACTGTCATCAGTGAGTCAGTCCACACTCTGTGACTCACCTAGACAGAGACAAAAACATCACAGACAAACTCAAGAAATTAAACTGATGACTGATGACAACATGGTTGACTCTTATCCAATCAAAGGAAAATGGATGAATAAACTGGTTGGTAAAAAAATAAGAAATAAAACGCCCAAACACTTTTGCTATTGTCAGTGGTTGATATTTTGTTTCTTTTGTGGATATACAGTTTCATAGCCTTTTTGTTTCACTATAAAAGAACCCTCCCATAAATATGCTTCATATTCTCCATGTTCTAATGACTAGGGAACCTCCAAATTAAGTGTCAATAAACAACGTGGGTGGAATCCCACTCCTGCAAATTTCACCAACCCAGAACCCACCAGTCAGCAATAATGGTGGTAGGAAATGGCACACATGGATTACCAATTATCACTCCTGTCCGATCTATACAATTACTCTGTCTGGTATTGATGACCCCGGGAAAGAGCACTGACCGTCTCAGCAATTTATCTCCAGCCAAGTTATCTCAAGTCACAGGAAGAACCAGGCAGGTCAATACTAATCATGTTGCCAGGCTACACAGATGATTGGATAAAGTCCCAGATTTGAACAACTACATGTTATCACTCCGACTCAGAAGTTGAAATTCAATTGCAAGGAAACTCATGCAAAATCCTCCTTGCTCATGGGACGGTGGCTTGAAAAGTAAACCCAAGGCTACACACTCTACATGATGGGAGCTTAAGATTGCCAGAGGATGTAACACCTTGGCAAGCACCGAGTTCTATCCTATGCTCTAACACCTTGGCCAGCAGAGTTTTATTCTGTGCTCTATAAATGTAGTCCTGTGGGATGATTAAATCCTCAGAGAAATGAGCAAAATTAACAATCCTAATTTTAGAGAGAAGAGTGAAAATGCAAAAAAGAAAAAAAAACTGAGTTTTGCAAAGGATGCATAACTATAATATCAACAGTTTATATAATACAAGAAATGCTGTTAAGTAATAGTCAAAACATCAAATTTAGCACATTCTGATTGGTTATAATGCTGTTAAATTTTATTCACCTCAGGAGAAAATGAAGTATTTCATTTTATCTATGAAGGGCAGAAGCATTGCATCAAAAAAGGGATAAAAAAAGAGAACATAAACTATCTGTGGTCTCCCACCCCCTCCCACTCTTGTGGTCTCTTTACATTATACACATAACTACTTACAACATGCTATCACACTTCAACTGTTTAGAAGTTCTGAAAGATCTTATTACACTCACCAAATCTAGTTATTTTTGCCTCCTATGTTAGAAAACCACAATGTACCCATTGACCCTATTCTATTGTAGAAAGAACTAGACTCCTTCAGTTGAGGTTGTGGAACAGGATTCTCTTTCTCTTTTCTTGATGGAGCTGCCACCTATGGGACAAAAAGCAGTATTACAAAGACATACATTTACACTGTGCTGGTCAAAATTTTTCATAAAAAAATACATGTGGTCAATGGTCAAACTATTTTTTAGTTTTTTTAAATTTAAAAATTCTACTATTTGATTACCACATTACTAACTAATCCGTATGGTCACTAAATTACCCGAACCAGTTGTGCATATTAAAAGTTGTAAAAGTATCCTTTACTTGAAAATCCCATTCAACCCTAACGAAAATTTCCTAATAGACATCCTATAGGAGTCTATGGGACTCCATAGCAATCCCATCTAAGAAAGGATTCCTATCTAAGATGGCCAATTTTCCAAAGGGGTCCTTTGGACACTATAGGATTTTGGGCCAATTTTATAAAGGATGTCCTAGAGGACCCCATGGGAAATTTGTGTTAGGGAATATGCACAGCAAGAGTACCTTTGCCACAGGAGGTGGTATAACTGGTTTAATGTCTGATGGCATTCTGCTGGGCTGTGTACTGAGTGGTAACAGCTGGAACCTCATCTGGTTAGAGGCCAGTGGCAGAACATTGTGTTGTTCATGTTGCCCAGCAACGCCACCTCTCATTGTGACACTGCCATGTTTGTCCAGGCTGGTCAAGGCACCGTAGATTACCTGAGTAAACAGTAATATTTTTTCAAAAATGTGACTTTTTAAACACACTGTTCAGAACCTATAGATTTTCCTCAGTTTGAATAGAAATGTCATTTGGCATCAATCTAGACTTTGTGCTGATGGTGTTGATATTCAGCTATATTTATGAATATTACCATGATTAACTGAGGTTTTTTTTATATACGTGTAACCATTTTCTGATGCTGAGAAATGAAAGATCTGCAAAACCATTTGCATTATCTTTTCCAATCCAGGTTTTTTTATGATAAAGAAAACATTAATGACTCAAAAGATGCTATTTAGTGATAGAAAATAAGCTCCTGCTTTAACAATAAAATCAACCTAAAATTACAACAAACAAACAAACAATTGCTCATACCGCACATCTCTGAGCATGTCTGCCAACATGCTTCTTAAGGTACGGGTTGAACACATCCAGATCAAAGGGGTCTATGTGGCTCTCAATCCCATCTACCACATTCTCTATTGCACTTGTCAGAGATTTCTCCTGAATATTATAGGAATATAATAAAAATGACACTTTTTTTCTAATCAGGATCCAGAAAAGGCTTAGATTATACACCAACCAATTCATTTTCAATCTAAATAAATAAATAAATAAATAAATAAATAAATAAACAAGGTTACTAACAAATTCATTTTCAGATTGGCTGTGTCTTTTTTTTTTTGAAAGAGAAATTGACTATTTCACAGAATATAAGAATATAAACATCTAATTAGGGATACACCTGTTCCACCACTGTACATTGCTATTTATAGAACATAAGAGTGTTCAGAAACTAGGCTTGCTTAAAAGTATTCAATGAATGAGAGAAAACTACCTCAGGGCCTTCTTGCTTTGGCAGTACAAGGACAAGAAACTTGACATCAAACAACAGTTGCAGGGCCTGGTTCTGTGTTATATTGGGTTCTCCTTTCTTCCCTCCATCTAAAAGTTTCCTATAGATGTCTATAATTTCCTTGGATGTGGAATGTACAAGGTTCAGCAGGATGGATCTGAATTAATACAAATATGTTTTATAATGCCACCTTTTGTCAACACACTGCACAATTGGCACATTTAAGACAATATCCATAAAAAAACAACCATATGCTAAAGAGTTATAAAAGTTATAGGCCAGAGCTCAATGTTAAACAGCTATGGATCAGATTATCAATATTCTAATTATTTTTCATTGCACCATAGGATGTTTTGATTTTTGCACAAGACCCAAATGTTCTCTTGTACACTGTACATGAAAATACATGGATAATAAAAACCTGCAAAAATAGCTAAATATGGTTATACACTATGTTAAACTGATATTCAGTAGAAGGGCCATTCAGAACAGTGAATGGGGGGCTCTTGCTGAATGCAATCGGTAAACAGAGTAACACAACAACTCCTTACATTGAGTAGAATTCAAAGATACTGGTGACACGAGTACACTGGAAACAAGAGGAGGCATGTTAGTCTGTTGCTTTGATTGCATTAAGCAAGAGTCCCTGTGGAGTTAGTGCACACTAGGTAGTTCTGAACAGCCTCTCATACTTTACCTCCTGACTGCATGGCCTCCCACTGTGTTGATCTCCTCACACAGCTTGTACAGCAACGTCTGCACGCTCCAAGATGGCAGCATGGGCACTCGAATCTTGGAGGCAACAGTGGCTCCATCTTCAGTCTCTTCTTGAATCTCAACCTCATCCCAGCTCTAAATATGTCACGAAGATTTTCATTATTGTTCATGAATAAGATGATTACAGCATTAGAATTAATCAAAATATCAATAATCATGTTTCAATGGAAAGAAGTGAAGACTTAAAGAAATGTAAGATAAAAAATACAATCTTACAGTGCTGTTCTCTAAAATGGAAGTGCCCGTCTGCTGCAATGTAGAACTTAATTCCTGTGCTAGACAACTGCTGAGCCACTGACACCATATACTGAAAACACAGAACAAGATGTGGGTACATATAACACTGACATTCACTGAAGAGGGTTTATTTTTAAAAAAATAACATCTGTCAGATGTGGCAAGTCTTTTTTCTATTCATACATACATATCTGATAGCATTACATATTCTGAAGCAAATAATCAACTTTGATTTTGTAATTAAGAAACGCCTTCATGTTTAACACTAAGCACCCCCAACTAAGCACCCAAGGTCTTCTGACCTTTACTACTCTGTTGTGTTGGGTGGAAAATGCACCTCATCTGATTCAAACTGCAGCACCAGCAGATCAGATGTCAAAGGTCCCTTGGCATTGCTCTTTGAATTGTTTGAGAGGTAATTAAAACAGTGATGAAAAAGTGAACTGGTTACATAAAAAGGAAAAGTGAATAAGTATTTCAAAATTGTGGTTTCTTTCTAACCTTAACTTTCTTTCATTCAATCAGCATTTCCAAGGCTACCTAATGACAAGTGTTTACAAAGATGTCGTGTGGCTGCAAGGTGTTTAACTTTATGCCTAAAGTGTTTACTTTGATGCTCCTGGTTCTTGTGTGTTCTGAGGCTAGCATTTAACAGAATGCCTGATCTAGTATTAACCTGTATGCCTTATAGAACCAGTATTTACCTGTATGCCTTGTAGTCATTATTTACCTGTGTGCCTTGTGCCCAATATTTACCTGAATGCCCTGTGACCAGTATTTACCAGTATGCCTTATGATAAGTGCTTACCTGTATGCCTTATGGCTAGTGTCCACCAAGGAGTTCTTCACAGTTGACCAGTGTGGGTCTTCCGTCTTTGCCTGGCTCTTTGTTCTCTTTGGGACCCTGGGGATATAAGACTAATTAGTAGTGTACAAAATGACCACTGGTTGTAGGGAAGTAATTTTACAGGGTAAAAAGGTCAAACATTGTCTTGTATTGATTCCTTGAATTCACAGCAGAAGAGACCAAGTTATAGCCCAAGTTACAGCCCAAGTCAAATCTTATGACAATCAAATGATAATCTCCACCTGCTTTTCTTATTCCAGGTAAATGAATAATTAAAACTGAAACTTAATCCAAGGTGAAGACCAGATATCCATGTCAACTACGTGCCTGTAGGCTGTACATACAATATGTCCCATACCTTATCACAGACTCTTTTTCTTTGTGTTTCTGCATAACAACACACTGCTCCATGTGGGTGCTGAGTTCACACAGACCACCACACAGACGGCCCAACAGCAGCACCCTGGAACCCACAGAGTATGGTTAGAAACATTTGTGTAATAAGCAAAGAATATTATATACATTTTTATATCTGGGAATTGGAGTTCTGATGGAACTCACTATTGACCAATGCTGTCATCACCAACCATTACACTGACTGATGATGTGAACAGTGGTTTAAAAACACAATCACATTACTGTATACACATATTAAGTTATGCAATATAACAATAACTGACTTCAACCCTGAAAACTTATCCTTACATCTAATCAAAACTCAGCCTCACCATAAATGTATATAATTATAATCCAGGTGACATATCATGTAAAACAGAAATGCCACTGCACTACCAAAAGCTGTAGGATGACAAAAAGATTTAACAAATTTGCCATGCAATCTGTAGAGGTTACTAATTGTATTACATGGAATAAATCACATATTAATTGTTTCACAAGCCTCACCTGTTTATCAATGTTCTTTGGTCCACTTTATTATCTAACTCTTGGAGACTATTCTTTGCTTCTTCTAGTTCCTCGTTTATATGGTCCAACAGCCTTTGTAAAGAAAACAAAACAAATAAATATCAAGGATGGTCATTCTGAACACGTGAAGAATTCTAAGAAATGTGATAGAAATCAGATCATCTTAATTAATTTCGAAAGCATGGTACAAAAGTAAATAGTTTTAAAATACCACACACAATGGAGCCCATTTACTGAAAATACACAGGTCGACAAGTCTTTTGAAAGGAAAGGGTTCGACTGAAAAAGAGTAAAGCAAGTTTGCGTTCTAGACTTGGAAAGTGGTTTAAGTCATCACGGGAGCAAGCAGACACCCAAAAAAAGAAGCGGGTGCAAAGAACAAGTGTTGAGATGACTGCTTGTTAAGCAAAAAAGTAGAACTTTTCATTGTGTACGTCAAATTTTTCCAATGCATAAGACCAAATCCCATGTCAAGCTCTTATCAGATCCTTATGTCACCTTGGATGTGGCACAACCATGATTAGTGCAATAGCTACTCTCTAGTATGACACCAAATACATTTTAGGAACTGCTACAATTGGGTTCAGCAAGGGAGCCCATCTAGGTGCTTTTTGTATAAGATATATATTGAGGAGTTCATCAGAGACCTATGGTCTCTAATTCCTCGTGACATTTTTGTGGCAGTTGGTAACATTGCCTCTTACTGATGGATGACACTGTCATTCTGGCCACCAGAAGAGAAAAGACGGAAAGAAAACAGCTAATTTTGCCTAATTTCTACCACAGACGAGGCATGTTGATCAAAGATGGCAAAACAGAGTTTATAAACAGGGACGAAAATGATAAGATACCTTTGGCAATAACAGACAAAATGGCTAAAAATTATAGTTTGCATACCTATTTAGGAGTAATATTTAGTCAGACTGGTGGTTGTGTGGAAGCAGTCATACAACAAATTACTGCAAAGCAATCTCAACTTTTAAAGTTTGTGTCATTTAATTTTAAACACAGACTGCCTATTTGCTATGACGGAAAAAGTGATGCTCACAGCATTAATGTCTTCTGTTTTGTATGATTGCCAGTCCTAGTGATGCTCAAGTTTTAAAGCAGTACAGTCATCCTACTTCGTGATTATCAAAACATTATAGAGTGAATGACAAAGCATTCCTAATGACATAATATAAGATGAACCAGGTATACCTGAACTGACTGCATAAAAAGTGTTTATGACAAAGATTCTTCATTCAAGATCTGGTATGGTAGATGATTCTTTTATGCATGTGTGGGACAGCATTATAGAGGAAAAAGAGCACAAATAAAGAATCAAATAAGAAATTTGAACTAAATCAGTCACAAATTCAAAGATGAATCCTAATTTGACTATACATGATATGTACCCATTATACAATGTATAATGGTCAGGACAGCATGTTCTCGACTACGACTGAGTGCCCATAGTTAACCTATCGAAATGGGGACATGGTCACGCTGTCCAAGAAATACAAGACTTTGTACATGTGGAAGTGATGAAAATTGTGTTCAGTCAAGAGATGACTGCATAGACTTTGAGCAATACAGGTGATATAAACGCAGTGCCAATTATGTTCAGCAATGTTTGAAGTTGTAAGAGATTGTATGTGTAATGTTTTTTGTTTTGTTTTGTTAGTGTTACTACTTGAATATAATTGTATTCTGCTTGTAATAGGTAAAAAAAAAGGAACTATCTATGTAAGAGGACATCTGACAGGATAGTTTCAGCCTTACTTCTTCACACAGTCCTTGCAGCCTTCTCTTATAAAATCCCTGATGTTGTCTTCATCTATAAAGCGATCAAACGGTTCCATGTTGCCCTGCTGCTGCTGTCCCGTCTGCTTGGTGTCTGAGGACTTGATGTAGTAACTGGAGTCTTCAAGGAGGGCTTTTAACTTACTGTCAAATGTACCACATAAACTATGGAAAAAAATGAAGACAAACTCACAATACAACAGTCTGTGACAAAATCTTTGTAGGTTACTAGGAACAGGCATATGTTACATAAAATTTGAACTTCTTTTACTAGCCCAGTGCATCTTTAGGTGGAAATTTGCTCGTGCCTTAGGCTTCATTCACATGCAATGTCTATTTTCTAAATTCTATTTTCTATTCGTGGTATCTTATGATCATGGTCTGTGCCCTGAATATCCCGCGGTGTAGTTACTGCCAGCGCGAGCCAGTTACTTAAAGTAACTTATAGTAACTGGCTCGCGCTGCCAGTAATTACGCCGCGGGATATTCAGGGCACAGACCGTGATCATAAGACATACCGCGAATAGAAAATAGAATTTAGAAAATAGACATTGCATGTGAATGAAGCCTTACAGAGCAGACTACTGCAATTTTCTAAGTGATTCCATGACTTGCCCAGACAAACTGTGACAAACTGTCACAATGACTCTGTAAGAACAAAAATGATTGTATCAAACTTAGTTTATGGTTTCTTGCATCGGATATGCTGAGCAAGCACATCTATCACATTTCTTTGATAAAAGGACCTCATTAGCATAAGTGAACAGTCCTAGTTGTCACACCGAGGAGTGTGTGGGCCAGTTAAGTGTGTGGTGCAGAGGAGTGCAGAGGTGCAGTGGCATTATTTATGTATTTACCCAGTAGAGGCATAATGACAAGATGTTTATGCCAATTTTGTACATGATGTACATTACCAGCATTTCTCTGTTTATATTATATAGTTTTCTTAATTAATAACCAGGTTGCTAATTGCATTTTCATAAACTCAGATGTTATGTGAGAAGTAAGTGGTGATACCAGCTAAACAAATAAGTGACAATTGTATTTTCTTTGTTCTAGTTACACGGCTGTTTCAAGCTGAGACTATTTCAAATATAGCTCAAGTAAAGGAATATGCCCGTTGTCATTTGCCTCGTTTTTCTGTGGCCCCTGCGAGCTACAGACTCCATCAGAACAGGCTTCTACATTTATTACTATTTGCATCATTCAACGTGTATTTGATGAAAAAATCAATCACCCTAAATATTTCTCTTCATTTATTCACTGTATCCTCTCCAGGGAGTTGAGAATGTCAACAGTCAGTTTTATTCAGGGCCAAAAAATATGCAAGACATATTGTAAACCACATTGAGACATACTGTAGAGTGGTTTATATGAACCATATCTACTCACCTCTGTACAGCTGGAGTGTAAGCCTTGGCCTTCATGAGTAGCCTTCCACTCTCCAGTAGAGACAAGATTTATTCTTTATGTACTCACCTCTGTACAGCTGGAGTGTAAGCCTTGGCCTTCATAAGTAGCCCTCCACTCTCTAGTAGTGTCTTATTGCTGGCTGCCACCCAGGCACTGTTGTTAACTATGTCTCCTTGACTCTCATTCCAGATGTAGGACCCCACCGCACACTCATAGGCCGCAGATCTGAAAACAGACAAGGATGTGATGAACCCGAGGAACCACTGTGCTAATCTCCTTTATAAATTTCTACTGGTACAGATTTGGTTTTGAGTAAAATTTCCACAAAAAGATGATAAAGAATAATAAAATGATTCCCTTGCATGTCTTCCAATCTGAAAAAAATATTTATGGGATTTAATTTATGGGATTTAATCTCTTAAATACAAAATAATCAAAACTGCTTTCAGAACATATATTTTTCCCCCTAGTAAATAGTTCTTACCTCTGTGCAGTATCAGCCACATCTGCCATCACCCTGGTCATGTGTTGTTTACACATGTTGAGGGTGCTGTCAAACTGGCTCTGTAGTATACCCTGGAGTCTGGCCAGGAACAGTGGCCTAATGAACTCATCCCACACTGGAACCTTTCTCTTCAGAATGTGTCCACATATGTTGTCCCACTCACTGATCTGTGTGGCCTGCATAACACAAAACACAGGATGCGATGGTGTTATAAAAAAAATTGTACTTGCAAGATCATAATGTTAAATTCCAGAACTTTTCTGTGTTGTAGTAGTTAATGGGCCAAACTAAGAATATTATATTTTTCCTTTTAATAAAGAATCCCAAATGTCAAATTTGTACAAAAAAATAAATATGTCTGTCAATTTCCTGAAGCATTGTCACTCATCTCTGGCATTTTCCAAACATTTATTGGGTGACTTGAGATTAGAGTTACCTGAAAATATCGTCTTCAAGTTATGGCACTTGAAACATAAAGAATGTTCACAAACTAGACTCTTAAAAGCTGTGTTGCTGTTATATTGTACTTACATTGGCCAACTGTTCCCACACAGCATCTCTGATCCCAGCCACTCCTTTCACTGTATTCACATAGCCCAGTAGTTTACTCACACCACTATTGATGGCTTGTACACAACTGAAATTGTAAACAAATTCCACAACCACTGGTACATACTGGACATGCTTATCCACCAGATAGCCTTAGCTTCAATTCTTTAAAAATATCCATCTCCTCCCACACACCACCCATTAACAAGTTACACAGTGCCAGGATAAATGAAAATATTATCATTATTACTATTATAACAGGTGCCCTCATAGTGAGTGGAGAGTTCCTGTCCCCTAACTTACCTGTCCACCCACTGAGTACAGTTCTCCTGTAGTGTCTGTGCAGCTATGGGGCTGACATGACTCTTTAAAGATGGTCTGAAATCTGGAACAGAGAGAATGTCTCACTCACTCACTTGCTGAAAAGGAGCTAACGCATTTTATTACTTATCTTTTCATTTTACAACTTGGTTCTCTCCCTTCAAGCCCCTAAGTAAACTTTTAAGCTCAAAATTAAAGAATGCTAGTAAAATTTTGCTAAGTATGCTGGTATTGATTTTTTTTTACATCAAATACATTGAATAAACAATGTCCCAGTGAAGCTCACCTAGCACTGATTTAGGCAAATACTGTGTAGAGATAGATGACTGGAGACCAGGTATGACTCCTCCTGGAAGATTATAAATACTACAAACTCATTTTTTCCTTCAATTATATATATATATTAAATTATGATTAAATATATAATATCAATCATCATTATCTTTGCATTTTTAAATCACATTCAATTGATTTATGTACTTAATTTATTGATCAGAAAGTCCATTCAGTTCAAAGAGAGTACATGAATATTTAATAGGTATGATCATGCCAAATTATTTCTCAGACCTTACCTCGTTCTGTCACTTCTTCCACAATTTTCAGCAGGAGATTACTGTGAGCTGAAAAGATAGCCGTGCCAGATTAAGCAGTAATTCTTCACAACTTTAATCTCATTCTAAAGACAGGAGGCAGCAGTCAAATACAGTTATCATTCAGACACAACAATCTACTTTTCTTTAAAACAGAAAACCCTGACTGGACTTTTGTTGTAAAATCACAATATGTGAATGGACGGAAAGAGTAGAAGAGATACATTTGGTATATAAAAAAGTGACTCACACTCAACTCAGACTCAATAGCTGCTGTTTGCAGAAGACAGCATTTGCTAAGCAGTTGGCCTCATAATTAATCTCATTACCCATCAACACAGACACCAGGCTGACAGAACTTGTTGTCCTGTTAATACATCAAGCAACAATTCAAAACAATAAAACAGAGTGAAGTGCTGGTGTTACCTGGTTCCTGGTCTGTCTGTGTGCTGTCAGAGTAGAAGACTGCATGTATTTGTTGTATGGTAGTGACAATGAGTTGTACCACACTGCAGACCTGCTGTTTGATACTGGCAGACTGCTGACTGGGGTGGAACAGCTGCTCAACTGCACTCTGGGATGTGGTAGTAAGTGAACCAATTATAAAGTTGACAAATATCAAATTGTACATTCAACAAAAAAATAACAATATAGTAAGGATTCTAAAAACTATCAAAGAAATGTTTGATTTGTTGATAAGTCAAGTTCACTCCTGACTGTGACTTGGGAGGGGGGGGGGGCTGATTTATATAATTTAAAAAAACGCCTTTTGCATTTTATTGAAACTACTGATAACTAAGCACCACTTGTTTTCATTTCCCGAGATTTTTATCCTAACCAGTAATCACATTACTGGTGATAATGTAAATCCATGAAAACCAAGGTAATACAGAAGAGCTGACATACTGTTCTAGCCAGAAGGAACTCATTGAAGACTTGTCTTGGTGTACTATCCTCCAGTAACATGATAGAACACAGACACTCCGCTGTAGTCTAAAAATAAATTACATCATTTTTTACATCAAATCAATTTGCACCCTTAATATCAAATTCAGACTTACATGGATATGTTGAGGCAAATGACAAATCAGCCCTAATATCCAGGGTGCTGATATATAGTGATATATTGTTCATTACAAGATCACATATACAGCAGTGCTTGTAAACTGAAGACAGACATCCATACATTATAAATACAACCTAAATCCATATAAATTTAGAACCTTATAAGGACTCACATATTAACAGATATTGCGTATATTTCAGTAAGTTTCTTTTAAGTAATATTGAGCATTATAGTTATTTTTAAAAATTATTTTTGACAGAAATCTTTACCTGTTCCGATACTGTGGCATCTTTTAGTGTGTTCCTGCACCCCTGATAACGACAGAAAAGACACCTTCACAAATTAAGCATAAATATTCTGGGTTGTTTATTAATGCAAAATCATACTATATAGTTTATCATCTGTTACACTATTCCAGGTCACCACAGTGTCACCCCTAATAAGGTATAATTCCACGTGCCCTTTGATCTAAAGTGCTACAGAAGACTTACAAGTGATCCTAAGAAATCTGTTAGAAGCCAGATTCAAGAATAAAAACGTCACATCATCCACACAAGTATGATCTGTTTAATAAATCATATTGGTATGACAACCACAGATGTTTAATGATCAATTAGCAGGGTAACCTGCTCACCTGTAGCACAGTTGTTCTGAAATGGCTGATGGCAGCCCACTGTTTGCCGAGTACGGGAAAATGTGACAGAATTTTGCCTGTCTTCTGTGAGTCCATCTGTAGACTAGTGTGAACGTGCCTGGCCAGCAAGTACAGTTGGGTGGCCTGAAGGAAATGACCCTCTTCCACAGAGCTCCAAATCTGAAACATCACAGGTGATTACTGCAATGACTACATTATTTTCTATACTAATTTTGCCCGTTTTATAAGAATATAAAGTTAACCTACAAAATAACTTTGTGAAAAACTAACAAAAGAATTTTTTTATTCTAACAGGATAATTTCTACATTCAAGCCCATAGCATTATTTCATAAATACATTCCTTCCAGACAGTTATAACAGAATGAACATCTAGGACATGAAAAAAAAAAAAAAAAAAACAGAAATCAATCAAAGTCTGCATACTCTCTCAGGGGTATCCAGTAGAAGCTTTATTTGTGAAGAAACTCCATAGAATGACAGCCTATCCCTTTTCCTGCAATAAAAAATTAGACATATATATGTAAAAATTACTGCAAAAAAAATTATGTCAAATAAGATTTTTGTATGAAACATTAAATGATAAAATATTTTACCGTTTTCACTTTGTTTGTCAAGCATTCACAGTTGGATAGTTTAAATATTTTTTAATGTTTTAAGTTTATTTTCTTAGCATTCATAATTTGGTCTCTCCTCTTGTATAAACTATGGAAATGTGAAACAGACTTGGCAAAATAGTATTCTATAAAATTGCACTGCTTTCACTTATATTTAAAACCAATCCTCATTAAATATTTTGTACATATCCCCAATAGTTGCTCAGGTGTGTTCTTACTTATGGGTATCACCCTTGGGTCTGTGCTGGGGTATGGCCCCCCTCACCATGTGGGTCTGGTTCAGGTTCTTACAGTAGTCCTGCATACTGGCTATGGAACGAGTCACCTGGAAACATGGCACCAAATGGTGTTCATTGAGAAAGAACATTGTAATAAAGAAAAGCTGCCTCATTTAGTGCTGATTTTAATTGCGTCCATTTCAGTTCTTATCTGGATTTAAACTGGTTCAAAGACAAAATATGAAAGGGGAAAGAAAAAGGATCAAAATTTTTTTGTAAATAATAATTTTTTGATGACTCAATACATCAAAATATTTAGTATAATTAATGAATATAAATATTTAGTTTAACACTGTGATCAAACCAGTTTTAAAGTAAAATAGTACCTACTACTGGTGTCAAGGTGTGTACCCATAACTTACATTTTCTGCACTTTTCTTCATCTCTGAGATGGTGTCAGCTGCTTCTATCAAATCTCTGTATCTCTCACTGAAATTGCAATAAAGCACCTTATACTGCACACTTATACGTTCAGCAGATTAAAATACAGTTACATTTTGTGTTCTCAGTATCAGTATAATAGAGAATTAATGGATTAAAAACTTACCCAACCATTTGCCTTAAGTCTTCCTTCTTTCTTTCAATATCAGATCTGAAATGAGTGAGAGAAAAAAAAACAATGATAGCAATCATAATATAACCTCATATATTTGTATTCATACATAGGAATAAAAAAATTCATTTTTTTGTAAAAAAAATGTTTATAACGCATTTCTAAATATGATGACCATGCTATAGTACTGACACCTATTGGGTTACTGTGATCGTAAAGTCTAAAAAAAAGCACAAATGATGACTATTAATCTCTATTACTTGTTAAGGATTTGTACCTTATTTTCCTCTCAATCTGTCTAATCTCATCCACTGTAAATTTCTCAAACAGTACATTTGTATCCATCTCATGGGCCGGCATGGCTGGGGATATACATAAAACATAAATGCCAGAGGTGCTACACAGCATCACATGTCATAACACACCAGGAACATCAGACAACATTAGACATATATGATATAGGCTAGCTGATTCTACCCAAGTACATCAGCATGGCTATAAAGTAATGTGGGACTTGGAGTACAATGTACATAGAAGAGTGTATCTTTAATAGTCCCATTAAGCAATAAATCTTTTACCATGCACGGAAAAACATGCATGAACACTCCTATTTATGGTCTTTAGTACATAGTTTATGTCGTATCATACATATCAGAGGTCGTAAATAGGAGTGCTAACGCATGGATTTTAGTACTGCTAAATTCATAAGTCTCTTTAAAATACACCGTATCTTTTCAAAGTCAGTCTAGAGCAACTGAGGCAAAGAGCAACAGGTTCTGAGTACGTCTTATTTATCAAGAAGGTTGTGCATGGCCCATGGGTTAAGGAATAAATTTCAACTCTCACAGAACAAGAAAACAAAGAACATACTGCAACAAAGAAAACTTGTTAAAGTTAGTGTCTTTTTTGCAGTATGTACAGTACTATGTAGTCAAAATAAATTTTGTCAATTCGACATGGAGGCGGTATCCCCCTTGAGAGGCAGCGAGATGCCATTTTGTACAGTCTCTTAAATGTTAAAAGATGGTTTCTAATTATATTCTTATGGTACATATCAGTGTAGTTTGCAAACGCGTTCATACTCCTGCTTTACCGAATTCATTGCAGAAAACTCATGAAAACTCACCCGGCTTCACACGTTCTGCCATGATTGCCAACTTGTCCAATTATTCTCCTGTAGACGTCGCCACTTTACAGGATGATCACTCTGCGTATAGAGCCCAATGCTAATGCGCTACCCTTAGTACCAGATTGATTTTTCACTAGATGCTCACACAGAATGTCTCTGGCTAAATATGGTCAATCTTCTAACTGTGACTGGTGGAAAATGTGCCTATAATATCTGTTGCCATGGTAGAGGGTAGTAGGCCTAATGCACTGCAATAAAATTGATCACTATCCCGACTTAGACCCCTTTCCCATACCTGTAGATATTTAGATCGATCGGGAGTCTCACTAAATTGGTGTCAGCTTAACCGGCTTAAATGTCTGTCCCGCCTAATAAAAGCTGTAAGGGGGTAATTAGTGTGAACCCCCAGGGAGTTAGGTCGATCCAGATGGATCGATCCAAAACTCTGGGAATGCAGTCTAACGCTTGGTCAACCTGTGCAGAGTGATGAATAGAGCATCACATTTTTTACTGTAAAAATGATTATTTTTTATTCCACAAAGATTGTGATATGAAAAGGTATGAATAAAATTTTATATAACGATAAAATCGTGCAAAATGTAGGCATTTAAAATATCAAACCAGCTTAATGGAGAATGAAGGACATGGTCGCGCGAGGGGGGGGGGAGAACTGAGAATCACTTGCGACCTATCAAAGTTAGCTACCTGTGCAAATGTAGCATGTAACTGATCCCGGGTTTTGTTATGGGGCTAGGGTGGGCACAAGAATAAAATAATTGCTACGTGCAGACCAGGAGAATCATATAGGGCCTAACTATATTAGATGAAGAGCACAGGGATTTGGATAGATTTCTAGGTTTTGTTCCCTCTCGTTCGATATCCTGTTTCCTTTATGCCCCTATTTCACACAGACCACGAATCCCACGAATGGCCATGAATTGACAAACTTCAGGATTCGTGGTTGAATCGTAATCAGCTCGTGAAGTTCTTAACAGATTCGTACATATTCGGAGTCAGTTCTTGCACTTCTTGACCAACAGGAATTGGTGGCAAAAACTTTGATGCCCCTATTTCACACAGATCACGAATCCCACGAATCGCCAGGAATTGAAAATTTCAGGATTCGTGGTTGAATCGTAATCAATTCGTGAAGTTCTTAAAAGATTCGTATATAATCGTAGACAGTTCTTGCAATTCTTGATCAATCGGGAATTCGTGGCAAAAATTTTGAGCCGTTCAAAATTTTGGCCACGAACTCCAGATTCCAAAAAATCGTAGTGAATTTCTGGACAATATTCGTGCGATTCCAGTCGAATCACACGAATATTCGTAACACTATCGCACCTGTATCGTAACTGAATCGTAGAGTGTGACGAATTAGACCAGAAAATTGGCAAAATCTCACGATTCCAGACGAATCCCCCAAATAATTGTAACAATATCGTACCTGTATCGTAACTGAATCGTGAGCGTGTCGAATTAGACCAGAAAATTGGCAAAATCTCACGAATCCTTACGAATCCTGAAATTTGTCAATTCCTGACGATTCGTGGGATTCGTGGTCTGTGTGAAATAGGGGCCTTAGGAAGATGAACATGATACCTCCGAAACTAAGGATAGGAGAACACTGAACCCCCCCCCCCCTCACTCCCATTGCATCGAGAGAAATGACAAAAAATAATAATCCCAATTGTCTTTTAGTCTGTTTTATTCAACACACGTTTGGAATTTAAACCTTATAATTGCTATTGTATGTCAGTAAGTCAAAAGCTAAGGTCACAATTCACCTTCAACACAAAAGCGTGTCTGACCGATGGATATATATTTGTACATGTAGAATGATTTGACAATTACCAAAGAGTGTTTGTGTTTGAAAACACCTGTTGTTTGACCTTATAACGGATGTCCTTGTAAACCCGATGCATGTCACATTTTTGTTCTTTGTTTTATTTCGTTATTCCTGTAAACATCTCCGTTACGTCTCTTGAAAGACCTGTGCTCTTTACTTTACCATGAAATTGTGTCTGATTACGTTCTTTGAATTTCCCTGCGTGTAGTGCATTTAAAAAAATCACGAAAACTTCATTTGCAGTCGTTCTGTTTTTTTACGACGAATTGTGCGTATCTGTTGTCATGGTTGAATAAAAAGGAAATCATACTGGAAAATAAGATAAATGAGATCTCCAGACGGTCTGGCAGGGCTATCAATTACATATTGCTTAACACGCTTTTAAAATTGTCATTTACACTGTACTTATAATAAAAAAGAAAGGTTCACGATGTCCAAGGTGAATTTCACATATGTAAACAGACAGTATACTACTACTACACTGAATATTAGCGCTTTGGCACTGAGTTGATCTATTAGACTGCGTGGCTCTTTCTTTTTTCTCCGAAACATTCTTTTGATAAAAAATTCAGATAAGAATCAGTCGTCATGTTAATAATAATAATAATAATAATAATAATAATAATAATAATAATAGCATTAATTTTATTTATAGTCTAAAATCCATTTAATATGTTCAGTAGACTTTACAGACTTTAAGTCGATATATAAAAAGACAGTTAAATATTAAGATAGTAAAATTAAAGTTTAATGTAAACATAAAATACAAATCAAATCAGTTATAAAACACCTTGAAAATAATATTTTTAGTTATTTCTTAAAATTGTTCCCAGACACTATAGTTATTAAGTACATTGGGAGAATATGCCATTCATATTCATTGAGTCCATAGACTTGAAGAGCTATGTCGACGTACGCTCGTATGTTTTCAATCTTGCATTCCATATGGCATCAGCAATAATTGATTGGTTGATCTAAACTGCGTTTTGGAGCATAACGATGAACTAATTTTAGTAAGTAAGGGGGTGCAGATTGATACAGATTGCAGGCATAAATATTTTCTTAACTTAAACGTGATGACCCTCGTAAAAAAACCATAAAGAATTATTTAAACTCGATAATACGTTGAATTAGGAAAAATATACATGTTCACTGTATTACTATGCAAAGTGAACACTGTTTGTCAGACATTTGACAAAAATCCCTTTTATCCATCTTTCAATTAACAACGTAATTAATAAATTACCTGTTTTAAGCAAGTGTAAAAAAAAATGAAAGGACCTACTCCCGATGCTTGCTCAAGTATTTCTTAAACCTATCTGTCAAGTCGGATTTCAACTTCAATGTGTTTTTAAAAGATATAACGGGTTCCGGAGTCTCGAGCTGTCATGTGGGAGTCTCTGGTTGATGACACCGGGGAGCATTTGTGTTTTGCAAACACCTGTTGTTTGACCTTATTTCGGATGTGCTTGTTAACCCAATGATATTTCCAAACATTGTCACCTAATTGGTCACAATACTTGTTTTGTTTTGTTAGGCCTATCATCATCTCAATTACGCCTCTGGAGGGCCCCGTGCTCTTCAGTTTACTAAGAAATTCAATCTGTTTAATTTCCTTGAATTTCCCTGTGTGCAGTACATTTCAAAGTATCACGAAAACCTCATTTGCGGTCGTTCTGACTTTTATTTCGACGAATTGTGCATGCGTATCTGTAGTCACGAATAAATAAAACAATGCAGCAAAGCTGTCATATGTATAGACAATAAGAAAGAAAAATGTCCAATTTGCTCCATATTGAGATTCTGAACATAGTGAGTTTGACAAACTGCACTGATATGAGTTTATTTCCATTTTGAAACTTTATTAGACAGTACACAATAACAGATTTACCATTATTTAACTATATATAATCAACTACACTGCATAATTGCTAAGATGCAGATAATGTCAAAAGAATACTTTTACAAATCTAATTAGTTCAATACTGAAACTGTTCACATACTAATAATTAAATCTGAGGAAAACCCACATACATAACAACCAGTATAGATACATCTGTGTTTGTACATTCAGCAAAAAATAAATAAATAAAAAATAAATAAAAATAAAAACCACTAATATAGTTGCCGAACTTGATCTGTATATTAGACCTGTGAATCAGTCCGGCAAGTTTCATGCAAAATGTGACATGATTTTAATTTTATTTGTATAACAGTGGATGAAATATGCTTAAAAAACAAAAAACAGCATAAGTCTTTGAAAAACGATGGTCTAATCAAGTTAATTTTTAAACTCGACCTGTTTTTCACAAATATTCATCAGTTCTGTAAGACAAAAAGTAAAACGATTTTCATTTCATTGGCATAACGGTGAATATAATATGCTAAAAAAAGCGAAAGAATAGCATAACTTTTATAAAAATGGTCCAATCAGGCTGACTTTCAAACTCGAGCTGTATTTTATGAATATTCATCAGTTCTAAAAGTTTGGGTGCAAAAGGTAAAACGATTTTCATTTCATTTGTATAACGGTGGATTAAATATGCTGAAAAAAAGGGGAAAAGTAGCATACCTTTTGGAAAAAATGGTCCTATAAAGCTGGTTTTTGAACTCGATATGTAGCTTATGAATATTCATGAGTTCTGTAAGCTTGAAAGCAAAAGGTCAGGTTTTCCACTTATAGTGTTATCACTGAGAGTGCACAGCGACTGCGACAGAATCAGTGATGGCTATACATGTGTGTATAGATACATCTGTGTCTGTACATAAAAAAAAACATACTGGAAAATAAGATGAATGAGATTTCCAGGCTCTCTGGCAAGACTATCAATTACATATTACTTTAAGTGACAGTCATCTGCGTTTGAGATATGCATACTTGTTATTTTCACTTTACTGATAAAGAGTTGGGTTCAGGTCAAAGTAAATCTTGAGTTCTCATACTGTTTGTTGAGTCTCATTTAACAGAACATATAAGTACAGTAAACAGACGGTTCTACTACACGGAATATTAGTGGTTTGTTAATGCGGCTGGCAGCACTGAATACGGGCTCGTTCCCAACGAAACTTTCGTTCTACGTAGATCATTCTAACTCCGTGGAGACTCTCGCTGAATGCAATCAGATAACGTATTAACACGCCGCTGGCGTTGAGTAGAATACAGAAAAGCTGTTGATTATACGGGCACCATGGGATCAAGAGGAGGCGTGTTACACTGATTTCTGTCAGCGAGGGTCCCCGAAGGGATGGATCGATCTACGTAAACGGTATAGCTTCATTGGGAATGGGCCCTCTGATATTAAGATATATTTTACCAATGTATTGACGGCTATATCGACCCCGTGTCTTTTATCAGGAGTGCTATTTATGACATTTAAACCACGCACGAAACTCATTGAAACGACACTAATCGGGGGAAATGTACATCGTTCATCACAAATGTTAACTTTTGGCTGCTCATATGACTAGATTACTGTAACCAAGGCAGAAAATATAATGACAGGATTCCAAAGTTATCTGTGCCCTGCTCTCTCTCTCTCTCTCTTATGTGTAAACTCGGGCGCTATATGGACTAAATCCAACCACTAAACATAGCTTGATTAATAACGGAGTTTCAGAACACGTGATTAAAGATTTTTGTTCCGGGATTTTCCCTCCAAATCGATTTTTTTATACGCGGATAGTATACCTTGAAACAAATATTCAACACACACACACACACACACACACACACACACACAAAAAAAAAAAAAAAAAAAAAAAAAAAAAAAAAAAAAACGTGGATAGGAGGTCATAGGAGGTCATAAGTAAAAGCAATGGACCTTGACACTGCGTTGATCTATTAGATTGCGTGGCTCTTTCGTTTTTCTCCGAAACATTCTTTTGTTTAAAATTCAGATAAGAATCAGTCGTAGTGTCTATCATCCTGACTTAAACGCGACGACCCACGTCAAATTATTAAGAATTGTTAAAACTCGGTAATACGTTAAAATTTTTAAAAAAATGTTCATGTACACTGTATTCTTATGTGAAGACAGTTTTTTGTCAGACAATCAACAATACCCTTTTTCTTTAAAAAAAATCTTGTTCGCCTATCATTCTACAATGTAAGGAATAATTACCTCTTTTATGAAAATGTGAAAAGTGAAAGGACCTGCTTCCGTTGCTTGCTCAAATATTTCTTTGAACCTATCTGTCGAGTCGTATTTCAATTTCTATGTGTTTAAAGATATTGATTGTTTTATCCATCTAATCTTCCAGAAGCATTACGTGAAGACTAGTCAGCAAATTGCGTCAACGCTCTGGCGTTTCCCAAGATTTCCCTTCCATCTGCTAGGGCCACAGATGAACCGTGTGCACTTCTCTCTAGCGCAGCAGAGAATCGTGTCATGAATTACCCAGAGACATATCTGTGACTATCTATAGTGTCAAATCAATCTGTGGTCCTGGTATAGGGTAAGATTTCCCTAATAGGCGTATCTCTCAATAAAAAGCCACACACCGAGTTGGACGGTAGGTACTAATACGGTAGATACTAAGACCATCTTACTCAGGCTGACACCAACAGAACTCGCAGGTTGACGCAAGCCGTTTGAATATACCGACTGGTAAGGCGATCGTGAACATTGCTTGTTAAACGACTGGTGGATAAAAGTGACCTATAGCATGGCATATACAAGTGGCACAATCAACACAACAGACATGCTATGGACGGAATGCAGCTTAGAGGACAATTCTACAAACTGCGAACTTACCTACTCTCAAGGAAACATAACCAACAATACTGGGTATGAACCAGGAAGGATCGTTCCTGATATTCCAGCTTATATTTTAATAACTACAACGTTTTTCTACGTCAGTATATTTTTGTTTGGAATAATTGGGAACATTTTAATCGTTTATGTTGTGTTATGTAGTCGAACCATGCAGAGCGCCACGCACCTGTTTCTAGTGAACCTGAGTCTATCGGATTTACTGGTGTTGGTCATATGTATGCCAACGGCGCTCATAGACCTTTACGCCAAGGAGGTGTGGTTTTTGGGAGAGGCGATGTGTAAGTATGTTTATCAGCGATCCTTAAATTAGTTTATCAGTTACATACAAACGTATTTAATTGTCGATACCTGCTGATTCAAGAAACGGTGATTTATAGGCACTTCAATGGATAACAACTCTTCGTATACGATCCACACACACACACACACACACACACACACACCAAAAAAAAAAAAAAAAAAAAAAAAAAAATTGTAAAAAAACTCATAAAAATAAGATAAATTCTATTTTACCACAAAACGGCAGTTATCGCAATTATTCTGGAATCTATGCGTCCCATTTGACCATGCGACCTCCAAAGATGACTTCTCTTTGGAATGATCTTTAAAGAAATTATTACAAAAAAAGCTTTTTAGAAAAAAGACAGGGGCCAACTTTGAATCTCACAACAGATTCATTAACCATTGGTAAGTGTGGAGAGTTTGTCGTTTACCTCAGGAAAATCCACTTTTTTGCCAAAATGAACATTTGTCAAACATAGAACAATGCTGACGAAACAACGGGCACCAAGAATAGAATATCAATTAAGTCAGAAGCCCAAAAAGTGTCTAAAAATCTAAGAATACAACCTCGGACAACCAACTTTTCCTTGTAAATGTTTGACTTAAGGTAATATAATGGCTATCCCCAAGCTGTACAAGAGTTTTGCATTAAGCCTACATTTTTACTGAGCTTCGTGAATACTTTATTACAATACGTGGAACATTTAAGCGGTGCCTGGAGAAGTGATAAAGATTCATCCTATAATTCTGTTACATTGATAAAGGTATTTCAATCATGAAATTTTATTTGATAGAAACTAGAATCTTGGTGTTTTTGTCACCCTAACAAGTATGGCAGCCTCAGTCGTCCAAGTTAGGTGTCCAAAAGCTCTCTTCATCTTTTTTATTCGTTTTCCACCCATCTTATGTAGAATTCAAATTTGTCTACAGTGACAGCGTCAAATTGATATTTCAGACCATTTAAATCGGCCAGCACATGAACAACATATGTGCCATTTGAACCACCTGTTGGCCCTTTTCATGATAACAGGTTGAGAAAAAGACCTTTTAAAAGGAAAGTTTGGCTTAGCTTTGGCACCCAGACTGTGCTTTTAAGAAAATTGCCCTTTATCCACTCTGATTAAATAATTTGTTAAGGCACGGTGACCACATTTCGAGAAAACCATACAACAAATTGCTCCATCAGATATACATTATGTATAATGACCTTAAAACGGACGCTAGATTAAAATGAATGAGAGATATCAATTTTGCTGCGCGCATTTCTTCTTTGAAGAGCAATTCGTTAATTTCAAAATGCTGAAATCAACGTCAGTAAGGTTTCTGGGTTAACCCTAGCGGGTCAAGCCGCTTCTTTTATGTCGAATTCTTCCTGTTCATTTTCTTTTTTAACCACTTGTATCACGCAATGGCATAACGCACGCGAAACCTTTCCAACGTTCTACTGAGGAAAACAGTAATGAAAGAATATGAAGCCATTATTCTTTCAAAATTGAGAGAAAGTGTGTCTGACATTTCCCCACAATTTGTAGTTAAACACAAGTCCTTGAGAGTGAGAGAGACCCCATATTGGGTTTTGGCACGAAAAAATTACAACAAATGAATTTCTTGTTGTCCTCACTAATTCTTAGTACATGATGATCATCATTCTGTCTATTTCCAAATGAAGAAATGCACTTTGAACATACAATATAACCTTAAGAACACAATTTTCTTTCCTTCGCTCTTGTTACTTTTTGCCTCTTCGCTTTGCAAATATGAAAAGGTCAGAAGTTTTATTACTGTAAAAAGTGCTAAATATAGGAAGATCGGGAATAAAATTTCTTATCCTAAAGGTTACAACAAGCAAGATTTAACTGTTTTTATATTATTTAAAGCACAGAGTCTAAGAAACCAGACTTGCGTTCAGAACACAGTTTTTTTTATTTTAAACTTGTGTTCAGTTTATGGAAACATACGATATTGAAAAGCGAATTAGGTCATCTCTAAAATCATCGACGATTGGTGCTGGGAGAAATTGGCAAAGAAAATTACACAAAAATTGATAAAACCAGGTTAGGATTTCACTTAGTGTTTCCTTCAGATGCAGTTTTTTATATGAACAAAAATGAACAAGGTGGAATTGGAGAGTTGACCTTTATAAGTTCAATGTTAATTAAAAAGGGCAGATTGGCAATCAATGGCAAACGATACGAAAACATGTACAGAATGATCAAGGAAATGCAATAACTTTTATGAATACAATGTGATCAAGCTGATTTTTAATCTGACCTGCAATTTACAAACGTACAATTTGTCAGTTAATGGGTGAACACTAAATGTTCGACGTCGTCGATATCGATGTTCAAAAAGGAGAGAGGCAATTAATGAGCTTGCGTTTTAGATATTAAAGATGCTGAATAAAAAGTTAGCTTTGATAGGTGAACTTAAATATTGTCTCACTGACTGTCTGTTTACGTGAGTCTTATAAAAATTATGCATTTGAATACATAATATGTATATGAATATGTGTACTGTATATCAGTAATCTGTCGGGGATGCACGAAAGATCAGTAAAATATTTATATGTGTGCGTGTATATTTTCAGGTAAAAGTGTCCCCTTTTTCGAAAACTGCACCGCTTTAGCCTCAACGATAACCATAGTGATGATCAGTTGTGAACGCTACCGTGGCATATGCCAGCCCGTTAAAACTAGAACCACCAAAGTATTGAGCAGATCACAGATTGGAATCCTGATAGCGGTGAGCTGGATGTCCGCCATCGTGGCCTGCCTTCCATTTTTCTTTATCCCCATTTACAAGGACTCCAAGTTCAAAGATGGAACACCAATTAAAGTGTGCAGGAACACCATCAAAGAGACGTGGCAAATAGGATACATCATATTCGTTTTGTGCTTCTTTTTCATTCTTCCTTTTTTAGCCTTGCTAATCATGTACATAATTATTGCGAAGAACCTTTCCAATGACGCCACCCTTCAAAGTCACCAAAATATTTTGGTGGCCAAAGTTCGTCTGAAAAAACGAAGGCAAGTAGTGGTCATGCTAACTTTGGTTGTTTTTTCGTTCTTTGTTTTTCACTTGCCAATAAGGACAATAAGCTTATGGGTTGTTTATGCCACAAGAGAAAATATGATTGCACTTGGACTGGAGGGATATTACAACCTGCTAACATTCGCAAGACTATTGTTTTACCTTCATTGTGCCACCAACCCCATCATTTACAATGCTATGTCTACAAAGTTTCGTCTTGCCACAGTTAAAGTGTTTTGTACCAAAAAGAGCTATAAAAAGGGAATGAATGAAATAAATGATTTATTTACCAAACAGTTCAGCAGCTCCCTGCCCTTACGTGAAAGCAATCAAGGCATTAAATCATTGGATAAAAATTTTCCAGAGGCTGAAACTACTGTTTAATACAATTTCGACAGTTTTCAACTTTTTTTTTCATGTGCAGCAATATAAGGAGAAAATCACACAATGTTAAAAAAGCAAGAATAAAAAAAAAATTGTATTCAACAAAGTCTCTCTTTTTTATTGACAGCTCGTTTATGTAACCCAGCTGCTTCACATGTTCCCACACAGTATGTAGAAGGTAATTAACAAGATGAGTAGGTAACTCTTCAAACCCTGATAAGGCTGGATGATCAATAAACGAAATCATGCTGCAACCAGGAAATGGTAAGACTGCAGAGATTGAATTACTGACAGCAACCACATTAACCAATAAAAGGCTGAGAAAATTTAATTTATACTGAGATATCTATGATGTAATCAAGAATGTATTGGTAATACGTCCCTAATATAATGTAATACTAGAATCAAATCACATCTGTATGACATTTAAAAAGTGCAGTTCTTGTTTAAGGCTTCAAATACTCCTATTACATTCGTAACTGCTAATTTTAAAAATAGGTGTCCTAAAATGTACTACATTTTTGACTGCCCATTAATAATATGTTTTTTTTATTTGAGAACATTTAATTTTTCTTTTTCTTTAATTTAACTATCTAGACTCATCAGTATGCCAGTAAACAACTAAATCAAAACAAGAATTATGAGTAATGTGCAGTCAAAGAGTGATTACATTTATGGGACACCCCGCACTTATTGGCAGAGAGAAAATAAGGTTTCATGACATCAAAGTGAGATATTTCTGTATTAAGGCCTAAATTGAGTTGAAATATAGTTTTGTCTCCAATTTCCCTCAGGGACTGCCACATCTAACTCCACCAGAAGTCAGCGGGGTGATTTTGTGTGAAAATATTCACAGAACATCAATGTGCACAGTATTAGCTACAGAATATCCATACTGAATATCCGTAGAAATCTGTCTCTGCTTCCCTGGCAGAATTTAGTCAGGTTTGGTGTCATACTTATAAGTATTTCATGTTCCAGCTAGTCCCAGGAGATAATTATAAACTGACGGTAAGATCCTCCAGTTATCAGTTAATACAGATACTACAGTCCGGCCTTGGAATGGCTTTTGTTTCATCAAAAGGTGTGTGTTTGGAGGCAAGTTCATACCAACCAATGATTCTCCATCTAGAAGCAAAAAATATATATATCTTCCTAGCAATGATTTGCATAACATACAAACTATATCAAACAAACTTTCACACACAAAAAAGTATGCATTACATTAAACCTATGCTAAACAAAATGCTGGCAACCGAACATTAATTTTTTTTCAGTAATTTGAATTGCCTTATTGAAAATGTGGAGTTATGAAAAGACCATTTTCTAAGATATCTTTAGTTCAATTCATTTCAGATTAGCATACCTTCATTTTTGCCTCCTATAAGCTTCCAATGAAGTGATGAATTCAAGATAAGAGGTTGATCTTTCTGCTTAGTTTCAATCACAAAAACTGATTCAGTGCAATCTCTGCAGTTGAAATGAAGCACATATAAATAAATTGCAGTTCTAAGTTTTACAATGTATGTGAATTATTTCAACCATTTTTGACAAAGACCAAATTTAAATATATGACAAACTAGCATCAAGTAAGGCCATGTACACTGGGTTGAAGACTGAAGTTATCNACGGCGACGACGGCGACGACGACGACAGACGCAGATGATAGCTATATGTACAGACACATCTGTGTCTGTACATAAAAAGTGCTAAATATAGGAAGATCGGGAATAAAATTTCTTATCCTAAAGGTTACAACAAGCAAGATTTAACTGTTTTTATATTATTTAAAGCACAGAGTCTAAGAAACCAGACTTGCGTTCAGAACAGTTTTTTTTTATTTTAAACTTGTGTTCAGTTTATGGAAACATACGATATTGAAAAGCGAATTAGGTCATCTCTAAAATCATCGACGATTGGTGCTGGGAGAAATTGGCAAAGAAAATTACACAAAAATTGATAAAACCAGGTTAGGATTTCACTTAGTGTTTCCTTCAGATGCAGTTTTTTATATGAACAAAAATGAACAAGGTGGAATTGGAGAGTTGACCTTTATAAGTTCAATGTTAATTAAAAAGGGCAGATTGGCAATCAATGGCAAACGATACGAAAACATGTACAGAATGCAATAACTTTTATGAATACAATGTGATCAAGCTGATTTTTAATCTGACCTGCAATTTACAATCATACAATTTGTCAGTTAATGGGTGAACACTAAATGTTCGACGTCGCCGATAACGATGTTCAAAAAGGAGAGAGGCAATTAATGAGCTTGCGTTTATAGATATTAAAGATGCTGAATAAAAAGTTAGCTTTGACAGGTGAACTTAAATATTGTCTCACTGACTGTCTGTTTACGTGAGTCTTATAAAAATTATGCATTTGAATACATAATATGTATATGAATATGTGTACTGTATATCAGTAATCTGTCGGGGATGCACGAAAGATCAGTAAAATATTTATATGTGTGCGTGTATATTTTCAGGTAAAAGTGTCCCCTTTTTCGAAAACTGCACAGCTTTAGCCTCAACGATAACCATAGTGATGATCAGTTGTGAACGCTACCGTGGCATATGCCAGCCCGTTAAAACTAGAACCACCAAAGTATTGAGCAGATCACAGATTGGAATCCTGATAGCGGTGAGCTGGATGTCCGCCATCGTGGCCTGCCTTCCATTTTTCTTTATCCCCATTTACAAGGACTCCAAGTTCAAAGATGGAACACCAATTAAAGTGTGCAGGAACACCATCAAGGAGACGTGGCAAATAGGATACATCATATTCGTTTTGTGCTTCTTTTTCATTCTTCCTTTTTTAGCCTTGCTAATCATGTACATAATTATTGCGAAGAACCTTTCCAATGACGCCACCCTTCAAAGTCACCAAAATATTTTGGTGGCCAAAGTTCGTCTGAAAAAACGAAGGCAAGTAGTGGTCATGCTAACTTTGGTTGTTTTTTCGTTCTTTGTTTTTCACTTGCCAATAAGGACAATAAGCTTATGGGTTGTTTATGCCACAAGAGAAAATATGATTGCACTTGGACTGGAGGGATATTACAACCTGCTAACATTCGCAAGAGTATTGTTTTACCTTCATTGTGCCACCAACCCCATCATTTACAATGCTATGTCTACAAAATTTCGTCTTGCCACAGTTAAAGTGTTTTGTACCAAAAAGAGCTATAAAAAGGGACCTCCGTTAATTACCAAACAATTCAGCAGCTCCCTGCCCTCACGTGAAAGCAATCAAGGCATTACATCATCGGATAAAAATTTTCCAGAAGCTGAAACTACTGTTTAATACAATTTCGACAGTTTTCATCTTTTTTTTCATGTGCAGCAATATAAGGAGAAAATCACACAATGTTAAAAAAGCAAGAATAAAAAAAATTGTATTCGACAAAGTCTCTCTTTTTTATTGACAGCTCGTTTATGTAACCCAACTGCTTCACATGTTCCCACACAGTATGTAGAAGGTAATTAACAAGATGAGTAAGTAACTCTTCAAACCCTGATAAGGCTGGATGATCAATAAACGAAATCATGCTGCAACCAGGAAACGGTTAGACTGCAGAGATTGAATTACTGACAGCAACCACATTAACCAATAAAAGGCTGAGAAAATTTAATTTATACTGGGATATCTATGATGTAATCAAGAATGTATTGGTAATACGTTCCTAATATAATGTAATACTAGAATCAAATCACATCTGTATGACATTTAAAAAGTACAGTTCTTGTTTAAGGCTTCAAATACTCCTATTACATACGTAACTGCTAATTTTAAAAACAGGTGTCCTAAATGTACTACATTTTTGACTGCCCATTAATAATATGTTTTTTTTTTATTTGAGAACATTTAATTTTTCTTTTTCTTTAATTTAACTATCTAGACTCATCAGTATGCCAGTAAACAACTAAATCAAAACAAGAATTATGAGTAATGTGCAGTCAAAGAGTGATTACATTTATGGGACACCCCGCACTTATTGGCAGAGAGAAAATAAGGTTTCATGACATCAAAGTGAGATATTTCTGTATTAAGGCCTAAATTGAGTTGAAATATAGTTTTGTCTCCAATTTCCCTCAGGGACTGCCACATCTAACTCCACCAGAAGTCAGCGGGGTGATTTTGTGTGAAAATATTCACAGAACATCAATGTGCACAGTATTAGCTACAGAATATCCGTACTGAATATCCGTAGAAATCTGTCTCTGCTTCCCTGGCAGAATTTAGTCAGGTTTGGTGTCATACTTATAAGTATTTCATGTTCCAGCTAGTCCCAGGAGATAATTATAAACTGATGGTAAGATCCTCCAGTTATCAGTTAATACAGATACTACAGTCCGGCCTTGGAATGGCTTTTGTTTCATCAAAAGGTGTGTGTTTGGAGGCAAGTTCATACCAACCAATGATTCTCCATCTAGAAGCAAAAAATATATATATCTTCCTAGCAATGATTTGCATAACATACAAACTATATCAAACAAACTTTCACACACAAAAAAGTATGCATTACATTAAACCTATGCTAAACAAAATGCTGGCAACTGAACATTAATTTTTTTTTCAGTAATTTGAATTGCCTTATTGAAAATGTGGAATTATGAAAAGACCATTTTCTAAGATATCTTTAGTTCAATTCATTTCAGATTAGCATACCTTCATTTTTGCCTCCTATAAGCTTCCAATGAAGTGATGAATTCAAGATAAGAGGTTGATCTTCCTGCTTAGTTTCAATCACAAAAACTGATTCAGTGCAATCTCTGCAGTTGAAATGAAGCACATATAAATAAATTGCAGTTCTAAGTTTTACAATGTATGAGAATTATTTCAACCATTTTTGACAAAGACCAAATTTAAATATATGACAAACTAGCATCAAGTAAGGTCATGTACACTGGGTTGAAGACTGAAGTTACCATACAAAGATAATGAAACCAATCTTATAAAACATCTTAAAACCTTTAAGCAACAAACTCACTCTTGACTGGACATAATTTTCCACAATCCATTAACCAGGGCATGCCTGGAGCACTTGGTATGAGCTAGAGGCAAAAATAAGTCTTCAAATCGCAGTTCTATGGGCCCCAGGGAACTCGCATATGTGCGGCCATCTAAACCTGTATATATGGCACTGGAATAAAGAGACAAAACAGCATGAACACTATTTCTGGTGGCAGCTACTGAGATATTTTAAAAAGCGTCAAAGTAAATGCCATCTATAACCATTAATAAAATTAGGTTCAGAAAGTAACATACCAGACATTGAAGGTCGCTGCGACAGGTTCCCATGGTTTGAAGTGAATTGAAAACTTGGCTGATGCTATGAAAAAAAAAAAAAAAAAAAAAAAACTACAGCTTGCAAACAGTTAAATATAGATGATGAGAAATTCAGCTTTTTTATGGATTTATGAAATAAATAAATCATTTATTTCATTCAACAACAAAATTAAGCAGAAAACTAACATTAAGCACCACCAATTAAATATTTTTCTAAAAAAAAGAACTGCTTGTATTTCCTAGTGGGTACTGAAAGCAGCAGACCTTGGCCTTTCATACACCTACCTTTATACAAGTCACTTCTTGGGGTTCCATCAGGCTGCTTCAAGGACAAACAGGGAATACATACTTCTGAAAACAACAGCAACAAAAATAAGACCAGTTTTTAGACAGTTTTCTTAACTTTTCTATTTAATGGTAATTCTGACAAACTCTAGTTAAATATTACATTTCTACTGAGAACCACAGGGATGTTCCACATGCATTTCACCAGATTCACTGACTTAGTGTAATTTCATCAAATCATTGTTGGTTGTTTTTGAGAAATAAATATGTGAACTTTGGGCATTTTAAAAATCCTGATATAAGATAAGAAACACATGACATAGCACAATTGCCACAGAGCTTCTCCAGAATCAAAGAAAAAAATTTAAAAGCTGAAATGTACTTTAAAAGATACTTAAAAGCTATGAGTAAACAGCTATTGACGTTTCCTGTCACCCATACAGATTACTACAACCAGTTTCTTACACAACTCCAATAAAATCCACAGGCCAAAAAATTACCCTAATAAATCACTTAATCAGGCTTTAAGACCGCACCTTCTCCAAATTTCTGGTCATAAATTTGATCTACTTGTCTCCTTCACAGAATATATCTGTTCATTTTCCAAGCAATGTTGAAATGAAATGTACACTATGTGGTTTTTCTTTAAGTTACACTATTTGAAACTATACGGTGGCATTTGGTCTGGTTTCGTGGCAATAATTTGACATTATGGTTTATTTTACATATTTATATAACACAGTGTGGAAAGCTTCAGATCAGAGGCAAATAGATAAAAAGTGGCTTCTAAGGTAAAAATCAACTAGAATATAAAATAGCCTGTCCAAAAAAGTAAGAAAATATAATTGCTTAATAACAACAAGGCAGCAAAGCTGTCAAATGTACAGACAAAAAACAGGAAATAACTATGCACAAAATAGGCTACTGTCAATTCTGATGCAAAAGTACATTATATTAAACTGCAAATTCAACATCAAATTTTAATTATGCTCAACAGGTAATACTAATGTAAGTAAAATGTGTAAAAAGTTCACACTTTGAAAATGTATAACTTCCAGAAAAAGAAGCCAGTTAGACTGCTTTTCCAACTCAGGCTGCATTTAAGTCCTGTATTTCTATTTTGAAAGTTTGGCAATCATAAATAACATGGTTTTCCCATAATGGTCATCATGGCAGCAGCACCCAAAATTGTGTTTTCTTCTATTCTGATGCCAAATTACATAATGGTTAACAGCATAATGACTGTCAATTTTTAATAATAAAATATGCGTATCATGGATTTTCAGAAAATCTGACTAGCATGGGTCTTCAAGCCCGTGGAACTTCAAAGTCACACCTTGAAAACGCCAATAAGTGAAAAATTAAATTTTCACAAAAAAACTGTTTAACTGGCAGTAAGAATTACCAAACAGACTGCATTCCCTACTGAAGCTGTATTTTAGTCCCATGTTTCTTTCCTGTAAGTTTGAGAACAGTAAG